GAGTCGCGGTCAAAATTATCGTTTACCTCTTTTGGTCTAGGTGGTATTTGCTGCACAGAAATCACCAAGACTGATAGGGGACGTCCTGAAACTATTTCATCTAAGCTAGGGTTAAGAGAGAATCCCCCAGACGTGGAAATCGATCGGGGATGCCCTAATTCAAAAACCAAGAGAGAGGCCAAACAAGTAATTTTGACGCCACCTCATATCACTACAGCACCATCCCACTATCAAAAAGCAATGATGAAGTGAGTATGTCTCCAACTTTGGGTCCTGTGCACAGTTTTGACGTTTGAGCCTCAATAATGGCCGAGAAATAGATGGGACCCGTATGTTGAGACAGGCATTGTCAGCCTCAGGATGTGACAGGCTTTTTCTTGTTGGGTCTGAGGGCGTGTGCTGAAAGCACGGCCTAGGTGGTGAGTCTTTGCACGAAGATCTCCTTCTCTGGGAAGGGGATGCGCAGAAACTTCAGATTGAGACCCATAGCCTTATGTAGTGAGCAATGAGGCCCTAAAATCTCGATGTCATCTCTACCTTATTGGCATCGTCAGGCGATTCGCCGCGCCTTGCGCTTGTCAGCGGACGCCATGAAGGTCGCCGAAGAGCATCCTGACTGTTATGTATCCTAGGTTTTGCAGGAATGGTGGCTTGATATTAGCGTGTTGGGCAGGTTCAGTTTCTTCCTACTTGGGCTTGACTTCACTGAGCTGCCGGGTTCTCCGTTGCTGTTTCGCGCTTGCCGCGGGTGTGCGGGCAGGGGGGTGAGGTTGGGGGGTGAAGGTCATTCAGTCTACTTGCACCTTTATGGTACATAAACACCCTTTCTACTTCATGCGCGCTTTGGAAATCGCTGCGCCACCCAGAGCTCAATCCTTCCAAGCCTGACTCAATCTCACAGGAAGGGCTCTTACACCACGCACAGCCTCAGCCTCTTTCACTCACTCCTTGACCATACAAACGCGCTTTGGCAAACTTGGACTCTCACACTCAGCCAGGCACACAAGTTCTGAGCCCCAAGCTGTCAACCCTGGGCAGTTCCCCTCTGCCTCATCTGCGGTGTGAGGATATTGTTGGTTGGAAGTCTCTAATTGCCCAAGTCTATAAATCAACTTGAGGATGTTTCATTAGAAATGGAGGAATGAATGATGGCATTATTCTGGGGGTATACTACTCCATTCCCAGCTAAGCATGCGTAGACCTCAAACTACCATCCCTTCAGCCGAACCCTACAGCCTGCTACCGACCCCGAGCCCTGAGCCAGGAAGCCGTACGTCCTGTTTGTTTAACCTCATACCTTATATTTCATGGAGCAAAGGAAGAAGGCCAACGCTACAGCATCCGCTGAAGTGGCCAAGGAGAAGGCTGCAGAGGCCGAGGGTTTAGTTTGGGGGTTTGGGGATCAGTTTGGATCGGCTCAAAATTAGTCCTGGCTAAGGCCGTCTTTGGCGCCTTCCATTGAACACCACCTTATACTGAATGGCCAGAGCTTTGGAATCTCAGGTTCCAAATGACGCGTGGAGTCGTACAGACCAGGGCTACTTGGAGGGTCAGGGGGACTAAGTAAGTAGGTTAATAATTCCTCTACTACCCATGTAGTAACCTTAACTTTCGCCGATGCTAACCTACTTGCTAAGTCCCCTGACCCTCCAAGCAGGGCTGGGATCGGGGAGGAAGCTCTGGGGCTTGCGGATTTGGGAGTTGTGTTTGGCAACATAGGGTATAATATAGAGGGTAATGGAAAAGAAAATGGAAACTACCGTGTAGATTATGATATGGGGGTTGAATTTCTAAAGTGACTAAAGTGATCATTCTGGCTTTGGCGTTTGGGGATGAAAGACTGCAACTTTCCCGCCCCCCAAATGCCAAAGCCCAAGCCTGCGCCGCCAAGCTTACAGACAAGATCAGCATCTGGAGATCCAAAAATTCGCTAAGCATAGCGATGCGGTTTAGGGTTTAGGGTTTAGGGTTTACCTAACCTCTGCATAAGCAGCCTGAACCAGGCGTCCTTACGACCGTATAGCGATTATATGGGTGCTTGTCACATTCATCCCTACATATACCCTAACCATATCTCTAGGGTCCCTACGGCGCCCTCTTTTGAGAAACTCCCATGTAGGGACTTTTACATGAAGCATCTGTAGTAGTATACCATGATATACGATAATATACTACTACACTGTTATATGCCATAATATGCCATAATATAGGCTAGTATGCTATAATACATTGTAATATATATATATATCAATGTATTATCATATACTAGATTATAATATGGTAGCGAGAGGCGGCAAGGCAGCAAGCCGTTGCGGAGAAGACCCTGAAGGAGCCTAGCAGGGCTCATCATTTGGGCTTCAGGCTGGGGCTTGGGATTTAGGGTTCTTGGACCAAGGGTTCAAGGCTTGAGGTATGTATAGTAGGCATTGTAGTATGAGAGTTGCTGGGCTTGCTGTGTCTGTATTCTGCGTTTTCAAGCAGACTTTTGCTCTGATGGCACTCCTGTTATTATTTCTGGCACTGTATCCCCAAGTCCTGCTGTCTGCATGGCCACTATGTGCATGGCATGGCTGTGTCTTTTTCACCGGGATCCCTGCGACGCCTGCGATCTGTACTAGGTTAGATGTTCCCCAGAGGTTCATGGGGCAGGATTTTGGGACCAGAATGGAAGGATTTGGGGTTCGGGATAGGGTCTTCCTCGAATGGGATTCAGGGCACGGTGTTTCAAGTCAGCACTGCCGCTGGAAGCGTGGCACTACAGTTGCTGGCATTGTTCAGATGCCGTCCTAGGTGGATTACGTGAGTCATGGTCCAACTTAGGATCCTTCTTGGCTATGGAAATCAGATTTTGTAACCAGGGAAGAAGGCACAGCTGGTCTTGTACAGAGTCTTCTGACGCAAAAGCTTACGAGCCTGCACAAATTCTGCAGCTTGATGCTGCAAGGTCCCACTATCAAACTGTGAGGATGTGCTCAAAGTCTGGCACTGCTTATTTTCGTTCAGCTACGGCGGAGGTTCGTGGGGCTTGCTTGGATCTGACTTAGGTTCAGGCAGCTAGCTGCAGTGGCATTGCACCTCAGTGCAGGAAATCTGAATGGTGTGTTTTCTGCAAAGCATCCTTCTCTCCTTGTTTGACCGTGGACATTTGCATCCAGCATTTTTCGAGAGCTCTGACTCTAGGACTCTAGGGCCTGGGGGTCCTAGTTTTGGCACATGCCGCAGCCCTGAGATCAGAAGTATCCTGAACGCTGCAGCTGAACACCACATGCGAGACCCCCCTCATCTAACAAGAGCTGGTGCAGACTGAGTTGATCCGGAATGTTGCACCAAGGCGATTCCTCTGTGTCTATCCTACGTATGCATCAGGGAACACATCCTGAAGGCGACTCCAAATGGGGTCCAAGTTTTGTCAACCGTCCACCTGGCAGGAGCTCGAAAAGGGTAAAGAGCAGCAACTTGTCGATGATTTTTGATACTTCCCCAAAATTTCTGTTATGATTGGATTAGTACCGTCTCGCACATGTACTGCCTTCCGGGGCGTCCGTGTGATCCGAACCAGGTCGTATAGTATGTAGTGAACGTTATATATTTTTAGGGCTCTTGCAGGCTTGGAGTGGCAGGTGTGGGGTTTCAAGCAGCCATGTCACAAGATCAGAGTCCAGTTAGACAGCTCAGCAAAGATATGAGGGTTCTTCATGGAAGGGTCCTAAAACAGGCCACCAATCAGATGGAGCTGTCTACCACAGGTCCTTAACATTGGCCTATCGGTGTGGGGTTGAGGGTTCAGGGTTCAGGGCCAGGGATGAGTAGTGAAGGTCCCTCACTAACTTATTCCTTCTTAATAGGGAAGACGGGAAATTAATCCCTATGTAATGCTCATATAATGTGATCCCTTATTCCTTACTAGAACCAGTGAGAAAAAATACCCAGGTTGGAGAAGATGAGGGCCGATGCTGCCAAGGCTGCCGAGAACGAGAAGGAGGAGCGCGCGTGCGGAAACGAATGGAGGTTTTTATTCCAAAGTTCTATAAGAGTGAAGGGTGATGATACAAAATAAGGAGGGTATATGAATCTTCGAATCTTCTTTGAAAGATTGTGGTTCTGGATTATGTAGGGCACGTTTGTAGGAGCTCACACACATACATGCCATTCCCCTCGCATTTCTTTCGTGCTCTAACTCTAACCGACCCCGCATCCCTATTGCATGCATTCAGCCCGTCATCATTGGCTTCAGGAGCAAAAGGCCTGGAAGGCTGTTACTTGGCGTCCAGAGTTACAGTAGCTTGTTTTATGGTTTCTTGTCTTGCTCATGCGTTTTGCAAGTGTTCGTGTAGGCTTGGGCATGCACTTCCCATGAAACCTGTACAGCTGAGGCCGAACAAGAAATATTTTGACTCTTCCCGTTCCAGAGCTAGAATGAAGCCCTCCCCACGAGCATCATGTGTATGCCCTCTCACTGTTATTATTTTCGTCAATGTTTGGAGTACTTACTTGGAGAAGAAGTAGGTTAATAATCCCTACTACCCACATAGTAACCAAAATTTGCCCCAGTATGAGCCTACTTACCAAGCCGCCCTGCCCTAAACCCTAAACGCTAACCCACTTGCTAAGTCCACCTCACTAAGCCCTAAAACCCTTAGCCTTAAACCTACTTACTAAGTTCCCCGTGACCTTAAACCTTCAGCCCTAAACCCTAACCCTACTTACTGAGTCCCCCTGACCCTCCAAGTTGGCCACGGCAAGCCCGAAATTGCTCAAGCCTCCTGGGTCGACCTAAGCCTGAAACCCTAAATAGTACTTTCCACTTGGTTTTCCATTACCGCTATATATCCCGTATAGAGTCCCTAAACCCTCAGCATACCTCTAATATGCCTGGCGGCCAGGCAGATTGACCTTTAGGCTTCAATCATCCCTAGCTCTGTCATGCAGGCTTCTTACTATTATCACGATTATTGCTATTACGTACTCATTACTATCATCATTATTTCTAGAACTGGCTTTTTCAAAGGATATTTTCTGCAGCAACCTTTCAATCCGTTTAGCTGGGCCCAACGGCTGTCAGACCTCACGGCAAGCTCCAGTCCGTTGTACCCAAGTTGGTCATGCCCCGGGCATGGAGCGAGGGTCATTGGGCATCCAGACAAACTGTGCACCTGGAGTTTCACTATGCAATCAACACAGTTCTTTCAAGATCAGCGGGACCCCATGGACCAGTAACCTTGCACTGGCCAAGAACCCCTGGAGATTTCAAGAGCTGTTGCACTTATCTGATTGCCCTGAAGCAGTTACTCCACTGAGGAAGAAGACAAGCTCAAGGGCTTCGTGGCAGAGTGCGGTGAGCTGGTGGCCATCTCAGTTGGCAGGTTTTGCATTGACCGTTTTCAACTGGAAGCGCTCTACTTTCAGGGCAAAGTAGCGACTTGGTTGTCAAAGCTCATCTACACTTATTGCATTGAACGCCGCTCCAATCAGTTCCCGTGCCTTGATAGGCCCTGGGCAGTGCAAACGGCGAGAGAATTTACAGTATACTGCATGACTCTTTGTTACGACTACAACAGTTGAGACCCATGGGAGCCTGAGCGAACTTTGGGTGTAGTTGTGTTCAGTCATCTGCCTTTCTTTCGAGTAACCCTTCCCTGAGGAAAACTGCAATGCAATGACTTGAGAGCCTAGTCTCCAAGCCTTTTTCACTCTGACCCATGCTCCGTGCAAAGCCCATGTGCTGAGGACAAGGGCATCGAAGAGCTGCAGCAGAAGATCCTCGCCCGACTTCAAATTTTGAATGGATTGAGATTTATGTTTCATGCTTGGGCTTTTAGGGTTAATGCATTTGGCAAAGGTCATTATTGAAGTCAGATGCTTTGTTTAAAGACGCCTTTTGAACCTAAGATCTTTGCTCAGCTTATGATGCGGGTTGCACATGGCATGAATTCACACCAACATGGCCCAACCAATAAGTTGCTACTGCAGAAAGGAAAAGAACATGGAAACTACCATAGTATATTGGGGGTTATTTTGGGATAACGGAAAATAAAATCGAAACTACTGTATGATATGATTTACTCCTGCCAAGCTTTGTTTACTGCTGGGACCCATCCGCTAGCGAGCATTCCCTGAACACTAGGCAGCTAAAGGCAGGCCCCGTCTTTTGGCAAAAGACATGTAGCATGTTGCCGAGAACGGCGAGTTTTACACAATCATCTGAAGTTTGACAGTTCGTTGTGCTACTCTTGTCTTGGGGACATTTGGTGGATAAGGGTCCCACCCTAGATTGCATAGTCTTAGCTCCAGATACTCTGGTTTGTAAATAGTCAGAGCCCAGTATGCCGTGAGAATACATTTCTAGGTGGCACTTGGAGATAATTAAGAACTTCCCCTATTTTGGTAGAAGAAACCTTCTTTGCATAAACTTTTTGGGGCCTTTGGAGTAACACCCTAAACCTTAAACCCTAAAGGCTTTAAAGCACCACCCAGACTTTCCGATCCCCCGATTTGCCCACAATGCCTGTACTACTGCAGGATGCGGGACCTGGCAAATGAGTTGATGCAAGCCAAGGAGAAAAAAACGGCGAAGGACTGGACTGGGTTTAGGGTCTAGGGCTTAGGCTTACTGCCAATGGGATCAATGATAAACCAGGGGTTCTTCGAAACTGTGGGATCAATGATAAACCAGGGGTTTTTCGAAACTGCACATGGGTGAGTTGCCTGGCAGCTCGCAAATGAAGACGCCGTACTGACGCCGTGAACAGAAGTCACGCCAAATCATGGACCTGAACATTCATCAGATATTTGGCAGACTTATGGCTTCCATCCAGGCATGGCCCGTTGGAAGTTCCCTCTATACCTTCGGATATAGTGCTCCACCTTTTGTGCTGTGGCCAGGAGCTGGAACGGAACGAGCAGGAGTTTGTGGTCCAAAAGCCACTTAGCGGCGGTTTACAACAAGAAGCTGCAAATCAGCAACGTCTTTGACGGAGATGCTGTTGTCCCCAGCGCTGCCGAAGACTGAAAGATGATCATGCATATCATGCTGCCATATTTTCCTCTGTGCCTTTGGCCAAGCACTTTAGTCTAAGTTGATGGTTGAAGCTCCTAAAGATGTAGTATAAGCAGATTGCATAAGTAGGTCTGGCCTTTGAAGGAGGTCAGTGAGAGGACGCCCAGGCTTGGCGCATTGCAGAACCACTCGTAAACCTCTGACGCTTAAATTAGCACAGGATTCTTGAAATCGGAAGCATAAACAGAGGCCCGACGCAGCACCGTAGAATGTATCGACAATTTGAAGTCCTGAGGAGCGTCCGACTTTCTCCCCCCAAAGACAGAAAGCTCCAGAGTGAGGCGTAACTTTGACAAACTCCAAATCTTAAGCCTTGCGCTTAGTTCCTCCCCCTCTAGCTTCTAGCTGGGCATCCTACTTGTTGTTTTGAGAAGTTTCCATACCAATCCCAGCTCTACGAAGCCAGGGCGGCTGCCGATGCCGCTGCGGCCGGTGGCATCAAGCGAGCAGCTCTTGAGGTGCACTACCAGGGGGGGGGCAGAAGTTGGGGCTGTTGGTGTGGTATGTGTGGTTCATGATGGAGAGTGCTGACTAAACCAGCGTCCTGCTTGAATTGGGTTTGAAGAGGATTGTGGTGTTTGGGTCCTTTTAGCAGCATGTCTCATCAGGAATTAGGGTGACAATCCTAGTTCTCACAACAAGGATCCCGAAGTCCTGGCTTCATGGGGTGTTGTCGCTTCAAGTGTCTCTGATGTTTGGCACCTGTCTTTCATGCCGAAATCTTCGACCCCATACACAAATGGCTTCCCCAAAACCTCATCCACGAAAGGAAGGTGATGCACTCACTTTCTTCAACCAAAGCCTTTACACCAGGCCCAGCAAAAAGCGGCAGCTGCGTACGAGGACAGCATGAGGGGCTTCAGTTGGGACGTGGAGGGTCCCTGGATCAGGGACTTCAGGGCTTACAGTGGATTTCAAGGCCATGGTGTGTGTATCTCAAGGGGATATGAGATGAGGCTTGTGTAGGGGTCATTCACCTAGGAGCCCTCCACTTCAGCATAGGGCCCCATCCCCAAAGAGAAGATGTAGGGAGCCGCGTATGTCAGCAGCTTGCAGCAGTGATCATGGTCTCACTTTGGGGGTTCAGGGCAGGTTGTGGACTTGGTAATTGTGATGATGCGTTCCAAGCTCCCTTTTGCACATCTTGCCAAGGCTTTGGGTACGTTACCCGTAAACTTACTTAGCAGGTTATGTGTAGCAGCCCAAATGCAAGCGCGTCAGATGCATCCACTTGGCCGAGCGTAAGGTTGATGGTGAACGCTCATCGCAAACCCCAGTCCTTGCGCGCTAATTCCCGAAAGATGGGGCCAAAACCAAGGTTCGCAGAGACCCCAACAAACCAGGAGTACCGTATCAGATCTCCGAAAGGACCCGAACTCTACTGGAAAATTGCATGCCCATGACAGCACGCTTTATGTTTTACTGAATGAAACCAGAACAGCCGTTTCCTTGATTATCCTGACTAAGATGGCTACGATTGTTCACCCCGGACCCTTGCCCTTAAACCCTTTCCCTAAACTCCTTTCATTCCTCAACGACGAACCCAACTTCAGGAGGCACAGGAGCACTGCAACCAGCAAGGCTTCCGCTCCCAAACCCACACGAAAATGGGGGGGGTAGGGTCAGGGTTGTTTTCGGCCTGCTTCCATGCGGTGGATCATAAAGCGTTTTCGGGCTTGCCACCCGTTTATTTCTGGGGGACAATTTCGAACTTTCCAAGATGCAAGCCTCTCTTTTTTGAGGGTGGGGGCTTTTAGCCCTTCCAGGCCCTCCTTTTCCGGAACCATTCTTTCTGGGAGGATCCTTTTTTCTCAAACAAAATCTGGATGGAGTGGGATTGCTGTTATGAGGTCGTGGAGGCGTAGTGTTTGGAGGTGGTGCCGCTTCGACGATAGTACATGAGCTACAGGCCAACCTCCTTAAAGGGGGTCTATAGGGGATTGTATAGGCGAGTATCAGAGGGCGTGTAAGCAGGATACTAGGAGTTTAGACTATGGCTCACATGGGCTTATTCAAGCTTCATTGTCCTGTATTGCCTGACCCTTGACAACTGAGCTGTGGTGCTTTGTAGGTAGACATGCTGTACCCACGAATACAACCCATGAGTCTGAGCATGTGCAATCCAACAGACACACTCAATACTTCGAAATTCAACGCAAAATCGGTGCATCATGTTCCTGACATGTGGTTTCGTATTTCAGGATGATGATAAGCCTTTAATCGCTGCAACTCCATGATGCACAATGCCCGGTGCACTACCGTCACCCACTCTACAACGCCAAGGACCCCCCCCAGCTAGCATAAGACACAAGAATATACGATATATACTATCCTCTACTATCACATACTATAATATACTATGGTAAGATGAAGCTCCCTGGACCTGCCCAGAACTCAAAGCGGAAGAAGCCGAGAAGGAGCGCAAAGTCGCACAGGCCAGACTGCTCTGCATTGCTCTTTGTCTTCATGTTACTTTGCCTACTTGCTTTTGCCGCGGTTATATGTTGTTTGAGGATCCGTGTAGCATCTTCTAATGGCCTTTCTTACGTGATGATTACTGTTGCGGCCGGACCCAGCAATTCAATCGCCGCCACGTGCTGAATACCGACGCGAGTTTTTTTTTTACTGGACGTGCAAGTGCGGCCGCTGCTGGTGCTGCTGCTGCTGGTGCTGCTGGCCAAACTGCAGATCTGCTAAGAACCTTGCATACCAGTCATTACAGAGAACGCAGTTGCCATGATCAGCACCAATGCAAGTAAGGACAAGCTTGTTTGAACAAATCAGTATTTCAGGAGCCATTTTTGGCTATGACTGGCACCATGCCTTTTCCTAGACAACAAGGTACACGCAAAAGCAATCCCTAGCCGTGAATGTGGTCACTGATGATTGCTGCTGGGAGGCCGATGCCGATATGGCTCAGGCAATGCACGACGATGCCGTTGAGGACGCCGAAATTATCGAAATGTGGACGGAATAGGGACTTGAATGTTTACACGTGTGCATGATGCAATGATTGAGATAATGGCATATGCAATGCGTTCTTACACTGACCGCCCGCCGTCGCATGGGTTTAAAGGCTAGCTTAGGGTTCTCAGGTTTGGCCGCCCGCAGAACTCTCTTGGAAAGTGCTGCATGGGTCGTCGGGCAGCTGTGCGTGTAGTGTGTGCTTGTGGGCCAGGAAGTGCAGAACCGGGTTGCCTCGAAGAACATGGTCGTGGAGCCTGCGACTTAAGTATTTGCCAGCCTGTGTCCTTAAGCACATGCCCGCTACCCCGTGGCCTTGGACAACCTTACCTCTGGTTTGGTTTGCGGGAATGAAGGAATGGACAAGAAATAGAAACTACGACATTAATTATGGGGGTTATACATGGACTACTATAAAGATTCATTTCTACATTCCTTCCGAGCCAGAGGTATGCAACTAGCCCGAGCAGCCAAACCTGATTCTGGGCGTGAGGTTGCGGGACGGCGTGCAGGCCTACTACGACGAGGCTTCAACAACTGGGCTTGTTTGAAGGTTCAGCGTGATGATCCTCTCAGGGATGCCTCTGAACTCTGAATGTTGAGATTTGAGATATAGCCACACGACCTAGTACAAGATGTTTTTTACAGGACATGCTATGTGTGTCTTGGCTCACCTTTTCCGACCTTCGTAAGCTGCATCCCAAGTAGGCAAGCATTGCACTAACACTTACTCATCAAACTTGAAACTTAAAACCTGAACATCAAACCTGAGACCCTGAACTCCACAACCCTTGGCAAACTATCAAACGCACACATCAAGCAAGCCAGGTCACCAAGATGACTAAGTCCATGGAGGCTGGCGTCGTGGGTTCAATTTGGCAAAGAGGGTGAAAGGATTGACCATGTGTCCTGGATGTAGCCTGGTTTAGGGTTTAGGGATGTAGTCTGGTATGAAAGGACTTCAGCGGGAACGCCTAGGCAGGGCAAGAATATAGTAGGAAGATACTAGGGATGTAAGGACCTTGGCGGGTAAATTCCTATAATATTCCTATTACATTCTTGGGGTTCCCTATTTGGGGGTTCCCATTGAGGTCCCTCTATGGTACGCGCAGTGAATTCCGTAGAGTACTGACGAAACAGCTCCGGTCCCCGCCCCTTTTTTTTTGAGACCTGCTCAGAACTGGAAGGGCGCTTGAGCATGGAGGCTTGCAGGGACTGTGCTAGGATTGTCATTTGAGCTATAGTCTACACTCCTTAAAGGGGGTTATATGGGGGATTATATAGGGGACTATTCTAAAGGCTGTAACGGGGGATGCTAGGAGTTTAGGCTATAGCTCATATGGGTTAGTTCAGCCATTTGGAGTACCGAGGCATATACAGACTTGAAACATCAGCTTCGGCTAGCTAGAGGAGTGTCCTGGAACTTGTGCAGGGTGTGCAGGCTTCGTCGCAGATTTCCCGAACAAATCTGTAGCTTCCAGGTGATGAAGAAGAGAACATGACAGATGCCTGAATTCTCTAGAATTAGGGTTTAGGGTTCAGGGGTTAGTGCTTAGGGTTCACAATCACGCGTTGATGGGATATGAACAGGTCCAACTTCAGGAGCCACAACTGCGAAAGACCTCAACTACGGCATCTCACGTATGTGGGCTGCGGGTTTACTGCTTTTTGTGTTTGACATATTACTTAAGGTCTAGGTGTGTTGGAGTCAAAGATCCTGGGTTCGTGAAATATCTCTAAAACTGGACAGAGGAGGGGTCTGCATTTGAGCGACGTCTCTGGGCTTCACCAGCAACAAGAAACTTGGCATGTACAACAGAACAAACGTTTAAGACCAAAGCCGCGAACTTTGCACCTGGAACCTTTGGGGCTCCTTAACGCTTCCTGAAGGCTCTGATTGCGGAGAACGAAGGCAAAGAAGAGGGCAAGAAGCCGCACGAGCTCATGCGCGAGGTCCGCCTCAGCAATCAACCCTTTTCCGCAAGATAAGCCGCCACGCACCCTCCCCTATGGGTAACAAAAAGTAGGATCGCAGACGGGTGGTTGACTCATAAGCTCATGTGCTGTTCGTAGCTCATGCATCTGTAAACTCTGCCTTTTCTCTGTCCTATGGAACACTTGCATTCTGATAGGTTGGAGGAAGGTCATTCTGTGCACAAGGCGAGATGGTTACAAATCGATGTGGGGTTGCGCAGGCTCGTAAGAGGCTCGTAAGAGGATTTCCCGATATATATATATGTGTGTGTGTGTATGTATGTACATATGTGTATATTCATATGTATTATATGTAATATGTAATTATACATTTGTGTTTATCTATGTGCTTGGTACTATACCGTAGTGTCCATTGTTGTTTCCGTTCCCGTATTCCCAGCATCTCGGAAGGACGGTTCCCATGTGTGGGCTAAGCTTCGAGAATGTAGTGATCTTAATTGAGAGGCAGAGCCTGCAAGCTCAAGTGAACAGGTTGTGGCATTTAGCAGTAGCCTTCGGTCCGCTTGCTTCACCTCACCTTTGGATGCATCTTCTGTTATTGCCAGCTGAATATCAACCCATATCATCTCTCTTGTACATGTCTTGAGCCAGTTCCCTGGCACATCTCCAAATTGTCAAAGCACCTGGCAACCTGCAAACACTAAACTTGTAACAAAAGAACGTTAAATCCCAGCCACGGTATGATGAACCTGGTGAAGGACCCCAACGTGAAGAACAGCATGATTGAATACAACAAGATGCTGGCCTGGAGTGAGGGCTTAGGGTTTCTACTTGGTTGCTGTTAAGGAACTTAGTTCAAGTTACTTCGGGAACCATTTTTAATTGCTCTATATATACATACACCCATGATGGTAACTTACTTTAAGTTCCTTAACAGCAACCCAGCCAAAGATTGTGAGAGCTTCTAGCGGTGTCAGGGTTGAAGGGCTTAGAGGTTTCAGGGCGTCAGGTTAAGGATGAAGGGCTAGGGGCGAATGATTCCTATGCCTTCTAGTTCTGGGTGAAGTATATTGAGGTTCAAGTTTCGCGCAATGTTTTGTTCAAAGGGTTTAGTGACCCCTCTTGCTTCCAACGCCTGTCCTTCATCTCCACAAGGTAGCTATAGTAGGTCCCTAGACAGTCTTGCTGGAACAGTATGCCTCTATCAACGTTGCTCAAGATCATGCGAAATCCAGCCAAGGATGGTTGGCGTGTTCCGCCGCCTCTTCCATGAAGAGAGGCCTAAGTCTTCAAAGGGAGAGTACCCGAAGCTTGAATCTTGATCAGAAGGAGTAAGTAGCAAAAAGCAGTTCAGCATCTTGCGAGTTCGCGGACCACTGCGATCAAGTGCGCCAGGGTCGGCTTATGGGTTCTTGTTCACATGCTTTCGAGGGTATTCGGTTGTTGCAAAATGAGGGACACGGGAAGGTTGCTGAGCCTTTCGTCTGGAGCCTTATCCATGCTTTCATCTCATGGCATCTGGAGGCATTGGGGCGACTTGTTAAACATGTGAAGCACAACAGAGGACAACAAAGCACCAACTGACGACAGAAACGGGATGGCAGACCTGAATGAAGGAACAATCCGAAAAGCCTTGTAAGTTTTTTCAGGAGCAAGAAGGCACTGGTAGTCAGGAGTAGAAATCAGTACAGTGATGCACCTGGCATTGCAGCCCAAGAAAATATGCCGACGAGGCAAACCTTGTAGCCTTGAATGTGTAATCGGGATGCCATTTTTCTGATCTTTCTGAGACTACTTCGAACTCAGGATCCCGAAGTGTTGAACGCTATGTAGGGAACAACCCAAGTTGTAACCAGGTAATGTCCTGCACTCCCTTCGAATTATAGCCCCCCTTAAGTAGATAGAATATGAGGTATATGGGGGATCTTATTACAATATACCCAAAACCATACATATTCTTATAGATAGCACTCGTATTTTGTCACCTACCTAGGCCCACCCCCCCTCGTCACCAGCCAAATGGTGGAAACCAGTGCATTTTGTTGCTCACACTGCTCTCTGGTGCCCCCCCCCATCTCCCCCTTGCCTGCCTCCCTGGCCCACCCCCCCCCACGCCTCCCCCCCACCCCCCCTCGTCACCAGCCAAATCAGACCCATGTTGCTCCCCCACCAATTGTGAGGTTTTTAAGGGAGCTCCCACACTGCTCTTGATGCCCCCCCGAGCCTAACCATACCTCAGTCCCACCATGCAAGCCACCACTAAATCCCAAACACGGAGCCTCAACACCCTGAAGCCTTCTATGGTAAAATGTACCCCTCAGACCCCATTCTACCGGCTTAGGCCCTTAGGCTCTGCTTTACAGTGCGGAATCCTGTTTTAACTACATTTCCCTCAAACCCTAAATCATAAACCTCAGCCCTGAATCAGGGAGTTCTTTGATCTGGCTGCGGAGAGCAACAAAGAGATCAGTGCACCTTTGATTGCAATCTGTGTTTGGGGTTTAGAGCTTAGCGATGCTTCATGTGTTCTTGGGCAATTCTGGTGACTTGGATTCTATCTGCCTCTGAGATCGCGAAGGGTACCTGAGCTATAGTCTAATATCCTAGTATCCTTTTTAACAAGCCCCAAAATAAATAATCCCCTATATAACCTCTTTGAGGAGTTTAGACTATTGCTCACCTCGTTTTGAGAAGGCACTTTCATCTTCAGTTGGATCTCAGGAGAACGCACAGGCCGCGATCCTCCTGCAGTGCGATCCTGCTGAGGACACTTTTTTAGATCACCTCCGTCAGCAGCACTGCGGGGATTGTAGGTATTGTAGAGACTAACAAATGGTAGTTTCCCAAAATAAGGGAACCCCAATATAGACTCCCCAAATACTATAACCCTTATTATAGGGACCCCCAAAAAGGTACCCGTAATTTTGGGAAACCCACAAATGGGTAGTCTACAGGGGCTACGATCAGTTTTTGGGTTTGAGTTGAGACTTCAAGCTGGTTCAGGGCACTCGAAGGCTTCAGATGTCATCAGCTTGCCAATAGCGTGCCCCCAACGTGCATCCCATGGCTGCTACGTGCTGGAGGAGCGTTTGATGTCAGGGCGAGGTAGCCCACACTTTTGTAAAGGCTGCATCTATGCCCACGGTCCGTTACCCTGGCCTTGGTTCATGCCTGACAGAGCCACCTGACTGGGAGCACCGGTTTACTGTGTCTTGCAGATATATGCAGGAGGCTTGCCTGAGCTCGAACGCTGTTATAGCAGTGGTTGTAGTCATCCTGATAAGTTTGTCGTGTCGCAAATTCAGGAACAGGAATTTCTAAGCCCTTGCTGCAGCCAAGGCGACCCCTGGTTTTCTGATATGGGAGCTGAAGTGCTCCAGCATGCGCTGGTGGGAGATAGCCCTTCTGTAGTCACGCGTGAACATCCTGCCGCAGTGTAGGATCTCGAGATGGAAGCGCGTGAGTCGAACAACTTCGCCTCCTGGCAGCAAGGTAATCCGCCGAATGGGCACGAATTGTGGTATATAGAGTTTGGAGAGAGAGAGTTTGGAGATTTATTGCATTTATTTTGGGTGCCTGGGCGGGCGTCCTCCTGCTTCAATCCTGTCAGCTTTGGCGGCCAGGCCACTTAAGGTCTGTAGGATGAGATCCTGGAGTTCATAAGGTGCAATCTTTTCTGGTTTTGGAGGTCTGGCTTTGGGTGGAGCCAAAACTTTGTTCTAATGCGTCGAGCTTCATTCTAATTTTGAACCATTCCAAAGGCTGCTTTCAGCATGTTCACGGAGGTTTCAGAGTCACGCCTTGCCTGGGGCAAGCCATGAAGCCAATCAGACTGAACCCCCCAGAAGCCTTGACGATTCGTCAACGAGTTCTGTTGTTCTGACTGCCGCTGCTGCTATGACCCCTACCCTGGCTGAAACACTACCACCGCTGCTGCTGCTGCTGCTGCTGCTGCTGCTGCCGCTGGTACTATCAAACAGCAACCACTTTAGTCTATCAATTGATTTTCATGATTTCTTCTAATGCTCATAATTCTGATGACGATGATGACGACGACGCAGCCGCTGATTAGCATCAACATGGCTTTCGTTGCTTTCCTCCATGTTGGCATGATGCTGTGCTGACTATAATCAGCATTTGGCTACCTGGAATATCTTGTGCTGGCTGCCAAGGAGAACCTGAACCTGAAGTGCGGTAGCGCCTCTGACTGATTTCTATATCTCTTTTGGATGGACCCTTTTCAGGCGCTCTTGCAGCTGGAAGGTTTATCGGGTCTCTCAATGGTTCAAGGGCCCAGCCAGCTATGGCTTGTGTGAGTTTCTTATGAATTCATGGAAGTACGTAACCTTCTTCGCGGTCCATCCGAAGGGCTTCGATGCGAAGATTGTGACTTGGATGCGGGTTCTGGTGTGAGGTCTAATTATTATTTTTGATCAAAGGTGGTTAGTACAAGACTGCAACAGCACAGCTGAAATTCTTACCCCAAGCATTCAACAGCTTCAAATTTCACCTACAAGTGCTTTCGGCATTGCAGCATCAGCTAGATTGAGGACCCCGTTCCCAAACCTCCAAGGACCCAACCCTACACCCTCAATCCCCAAATGCCCCAAACCCTTGGGCCCCAAAGGCTCGTGGTCATCGTTGAGCAGAGTCCCAAATCCTGAAACCTCAAACACTGAATATTGTTGCTAATCTTAAGCCCTGGACACTAACCCTAAACTACCCTAAACCCTCATCTTTGATATTCTTAAACCTTGGTCCCTAAACTCCACACCACCCCTCAACCCTCAACCCTAAACCTCAAACCCTAAACCTCAAACCCTAAACCTCAAACCCTAAGCCTCAAACCTTAAACCTCAAACCTGAGGTTCCAGTATCCCGATATTACCCCAATATAACCCTTATCTACTTGAGGGGGATGATATGGTACCCAAACCCTAAACTCAACCCAGCTGGCCTTTGGGATGATCTTGGCCTCGAGAGGCCTGCCCTGGGGCTAAGGACCTGGGAGCTTCTGAAAAGTACTTAGGCTCCTGTTCCAGGATTCTATGAGCTGCTTACAGGGAGGTTATAGGGATTATATAGGGATTCGGGTTTAGGGATTAGGGTTTAGGGTTTAAGGTCTGAACTCCTTAAAGGGGGTTTATAGGGGAGTATTGCCAATGTTATTAAGGGGAAGGCTAGGGGCTTAGTCTGTAGCTCATATAGGGGGATTAAATGGCACGAAATATGGTTATCAATGCGTAGTTCTTTCCCACATGTGTAGGTATGATAAAGGGGCCAGGGGTGAAGATTTGATGTTGTATGAGGTGTGGGATTTCAAGCTCTGGCTTCATGCTGGCAGGCTCAAGGTTGTCATCATGTGCTCTTCCGAGCTTTAGGGGCTGCGAAGTCATAGATTTGGAAGAGAGGCATGTCTCAGGAACAGCGACGTACCTGCCACATTCCATGATATCGCAGCCCAGACAGCAAACCACAACCTACTTCATATTTGGTGAGATGTGTGTGAATTTAAGGCTCTCTTTTATCCATCTTCTAAGCGCCTTCAAGATGTAGCATGGTTGCATGGAGCATAGACATAGACATACAGACTTTGCATGATTACCGTTCGCAGGGTTAGAGAAAGCGCTTTGACTTCAGAACGCCCCTTACCCTGAATACAACCTAAGTCCTTACCTGGACCACCTTCACTTAAGTCTTACCTGAGGGGAGTCATTAACCCCTATAACAACCTTATTTATTCCATCATTAACCTACTTACTAAGTGGGCCTGACCCTAAACCCTAAGCCCACAATAATCTAGGTTTCTTTTCCATTCTTACTAAGCCCCCCTGACCCTCCAAGTACGCCTCCTCTGTCTTCCTGGGCAAGGCAGCAGTTTCCCGGCCCCGCAGATGCCACTTTGCAGATTTGGGGGGCTAAGACTCAGAAGATTAGGATTCTCCGAGGGGTTGGAGATATGCATTACCGTCCCAAAACCATAACCCCCAAGCTGTAACGTTGGCTTGCCTTTCGCCACTATATGAGTGAATGATGACACCCCTGGGTCCAAAAAAGCTGTTTTGGCAGGTCCAGAGGTGGTACTTTACCCAGTTAGGATCTTGGAGTGAGAGGGTCCTCTCTTGGTAGGTTGTGAGTGTCCGGGCACCCATTCAGATTCCAACTGTTCCTTTCAGAATTGTTTCGGCAATGGTAAGAGTCACTTCAGTGCCCAATCTTATGTTGCAGCGTCCATGCAGGATGTGTGCTCTGCCTGTAAGGCCCTGACTAGCGTTGTTATTTTGAAGCTCGCGCTACCTCTGGCCCTACGCCCTCTACCCATCAATCCTCAACCCTAGATGGGCTATAGTCTAAACTCCTAGTATCACCCTGAATAACCCCTATAATGGTTCCCTATACAATCCCCTATGTAACCCCTTTTTAGGACTTTGGATTATAGTTCAGATGAGGAAGTGACCACCACCACAATGGCACCGGAGGTGGCACCGGAGGTGCCGGAGTTGATCTGAGAGTCTTAGGGTGCATGCTTTAGCTTTCAGGGTGCGCTTTTTGTTTGCGCAGTTCCTTGAAAAGGCATCGTTGGGGAACGCCCCAAGGGGGGCTAGTGACTAGTGCTAATTTGAAGGGACATCAAGCAGTACGAGGAGCTCAGAGAATGCTGATTCTAGCTGACCATTGGGCCCTCTATGTGGCACAAGCATACTGATGGGAACACCCTTGGTAGGGGTAATTGGGTGTACAGTCGTGGGGGTGCAATCAGGACAGGCCCCCATTCTTGGCCCTGTTCTCATAAGCCAGCGTTGTAACCTGTCAAGACTAAGAGTAAACCCAAACACTAACCCCTGCAGCAACCGAACTTGAAGCCTGTAGAGGGTCCAGAATCTTGGGCAAAGCCTGCATAGGCCGACAGTGCGCCAGTGGACCAAGGTGGGTAGAGCTGTTGCTGGGGAACTTGTATTGTCAGCAAAGTATGCGGGGTGACTAAGTTTTAAGAATCTCCCGATTCCGGTCTTTTCTTTAGGGTTGACTTGCTATTGCATTGCCATTGTGGATAGAGGTGCAAGCATGGTTAATAGGGGCTGCGTGATCTGCTTACATCTTCATGATGCTGGCAATGCCTCATCTTTCGAGGCTTGCTTGCCATGTTTTTTCACTACTATATTTTTAACAGGGTATATATTGGGCTTATAGGGTGTTATCTAGGGATAATGGAAAAGGGAAGCCACTATTTAGGGCTAAGGGTTTGCCATTGAGCCGTGGGATTGAGTGCCAGATTTGTCAGTCCAGTACAGTTCTTCATCTCGTCGCAGTCCCCTACGGTGTTTTCATGTACGTCAGGCCTCTGAAAAGGCTCGGTTCCTGTCCAGACCACATCATTTGTCAGATAACCAACTGATAACCTTTCCAAAATTTCAAATCCTCGCTCTTCCAGCAGGGGGCTTGGGGAAGAGGTGCTGATTTGAGGATCAGGAACCAGGCCTTACAGCTAGGACGTAGGCGGTGAGCTTCCCTATGCTGTGGAGACGTCGTGTTCACCGTCAAGCAGGGTAGTGTTCACCACGAACCAAGGTGGAGATGACGAAGCACTTGACCCACTTCAAGTCTTGCATGCAGGTTCCAAAACGGTAGTTTCCGTAAATAGCGGAACACCAATATAGACGCCAAACTATTTCAATCCTTATTATGGAGACCCCGAAAAGGTACCCCTAATTTTGGGGAACCCCCATCTTGAGCCCTAATCCCAATCCCACGTCGAAACCCTTAAT